TCGACAGCGCCTGCTTCCGCGGGGGCGTCGGGCCCCAGCCCCCCCCCCCCCTCCTCGCCCGCGTCCTTCTTCATCGGCGGCTGCGGTTTTGCGGCTGCTGGTTGTTTGGTCCCTGCGGGCATCTTGGGCGCCGCTGCTGCTGGTTTGCCCCTCTTTGCCGCCGTCGCCTGCGCCTTCGACGCCGCCGCCTTCGCTGCGAGCGACGCGTTGGGCTGCTCCGTCGTCTCCGCCCTGCCGTCGGGAAACGCCGCGTTCAAGAAACCGCCGTCTCCTTTGGCCAGCCCCCACCGTTCCTCCCCGTCCGCGAACCTCAGCGCCAAGCGCGTCGGATCGGAGTTGGCGTCGAACAACTTCGTCAGGGGATCCCGCGGCGGGTCGCGCACTTCTTTGCCCCTCTTGAAAGGGGTTTACCCGCGCTCCCAAGGCAATGGAAGGCGCGACAATCCATTGCCCCGCCGGAAGGGGATCAGACGCAGGCGCGTTGTGGTGTGCACACACGCACAACAACAACAAAACAAAACTATCATACCGTCCCCCCCCCCCCCCCTCCTTCCACGCCCCCCCCCCCCCTCCTTCCAGCCTGCCCGCCCCTTCCCCGATCGATCCTCCTTCGGGGCCGCCGCGGCGGGCGATTCAGAGAACTCGCCCTCCGACGTGTCGGCGTCCTGCGACGAGAACACCATCATGGGGCAGGTGGCAACCTCTTGCTTCTTCGGCTTCGGAGGGGGGCTGATGCCGAACGCGTTCTTGATGACATTGCGCCTGCAGCCCCCGCTCGAAGACGCGGGGGCGCCGGGAGACGCGGCGGGAGCGCTGGGCGACGCGGCGGCAGGCGAGATCTCCAGGTCGGAGCTGCTGTCTGCGCGCTCGCCCTTGGATCCCACTGCGGTTGGGCTCCCCCTTCCACGCTTCAAACCCATGGCGTCGCCCAGTAACTTCGCGCGCGGATTCATCTTCGCCCCTGTCTTCGCGAGGTAGAATTTGCCGCGCGCGCGGCTGAATGAATTCGACACCTCCTGGCAGAAACGCCTGCGCTCGTCCTTGCGCATGTTCGGCTTCTGCTGCATCGCAACGTCGCGGAGGCTCTTCCATTTGATGCGCTTGGTGTGCTCTGCAAGCGGGAGGAGGAGAGGCATGTTGTTCCTCGGGAACTCACCCATGCCCCCCTGCAGGTGGCAACGCTCGATCAAGCCGATGTGCTGTTTCACCGTGGCCTGCAACTGGCCAGCGCTGACCGTGGACGTCCGCCTGGCGCCGCGATCGGTCGCGTTGGCCACGCCCGCGCAAACGCGCGAACAGAGAGAGCGCGATGCCCTCGAGCCTTCGCTGCTACGGATCCCGCATGCGCGGATGATATGCGATGCCTCTCACTCAGGGGATCCGAGAACGATGCGCTTGAAGAAAAATTATATCGACCCGCTCAAAAATCCTGGGTTGCATTATTATTCGCCCCATGAATATCCTGGGTATGTCTTCTTAGTCGACCCCGCGTTATTAAGCAACCTTGGAGTCTCAAGGGCGGAAGCCCGGGGGGAAGGCCGGCAGGCCCACCTCGCTGTCGCCGCCGCCGGCGAGGGCAACTTCGCGCGCCCCGGGCCCGCCCAGGCGGGGCCCCGCGGCCGCCATCGCCCCTATGCCATGCGGTCGAGGCGCGCCGCGGCGCGCCAGTCGCCCGCCGGGGCGCCGCCATCGAGGAAAAATGAGGCCAGGTCCAAGGCGCCTTCAGCCCTGGGGGCGGGCTGGCGGAGGGCCCGCTCGGCAGCGCGCTGCAGTGTCAAGGGGAAGAACAGCGGCCCCAGAGGGTCTCGATCCTTGCTGCACGCCGCACTCCGAGCGCATCGAGTGCCCACCGAATCGAGTCAGCGAGGGGGGGGCCCGGTAGCGCAATAAGCCCGCGGCGCCAGAGCGGGCAGTTCTTCGCGCGCCGCTCGCAGGAGGGCTTGGCGGTCGAGGGTTTGAGGCCGCTGCTGAGGTCAACCTTGACAAACACCTCCTGCCTGTTGTCAGCGCTGCGCGCGAACAAATGTCGGGGCACTTGAACCGCGGTCTCGCAGCCACCCGGAGGGCGACGCCCACCTGCAAGGGGGGCGAGGCGGTCTCGGGAGGCGTCGGAAACCTGGCTGCAGAGGCACTTCGCCTCCAGGCGCCGCGCTGTTTCCCCCGCGGCCACTGGTCGAAGGCCGCCGTCCTTCTTGGGCAGGGCCACCAGCGAGGCGCCGGCTGGGCAGTTCGCCACAGCAGAGGGGGCGTGGCCCTTCGCGAGGAGGCTGGCAAGGCCCAGCAGCTGCTGCAGTACCTCGTAGCGGCGGGCCGCCGTTTGCAGCGCGTCCGCGAAGTGTTGCGGTCGCAGGCCAAGAAGGCCGGGATCGGACCCCCCGGGGACGGCCCGCACCTCGCGCTCGAGCGAAACGGCGTCCAGAGGCGCCGCCGCCGCGTTGACAGCGGGGAGGCTGGCGGCGTCCACTGGTCGCTGGCTTCGTAACTGTTTCTGCCTCATCTGCGCCAGCGCAGCCTCGGTAACCTTTGCCGGAGTCTCGCTGGTGAGCGCCGAGCAGCTCGTGGTGCACAGCGCGTTGGCCGCGCGTTCCAGGCAGCACTGCGCTCTCTGGGCCGCGCGGGAGGGTTTTGCGGTGGTTTTCCAGTCCGCTGTCTCTGCCCAGAGCGAAGCGCGCTCTCCCTCCAGCCAGCGCTGGCAGAGGTTCTTGGTCAGAGCCTCCGCCGCGCCCCTACTGCCGCGCCCACCGCGGTGTACACAGGCGCTGTGTTGCACACGGCTGATGTGGTGGACGCAGGCGTTGTGGTGTACACAAGCGCTGTGGTGCACGTGGGCACCGTGGCACACGCTGGCGCTGTGTTGCACGCGGCTGCCGTGGTGTACATATACGGTGCGGGGTGTACACAGGCGATGTGGTGCATGCTGGCATTGTGGTGTACACAAGCGCTGTTGTGCAAATCGCCACCTACATGATGCTGCCACCCGTCTTCGGTCATCCCTGAGCATTCCCAAGCGCCGCCGGCGCGAAACGCGACGTCATCGCCCCCCCCCCACACACACCAGATGACGGCCGTCATCGGCCCGTGATCTTCATTCCGTGATCTTCAACACCGCGAATTAAGGGGGTTGTTGCGTCTTGACAACCCTACACCGTGCCAAAACACCATGGCCGGGACTTCCACCACACGGACCCGTGCAATTTGTTGAAACGAATGTCCGCGGCGCTGATGCCGCGTTTTGAAAATCACCCTCCTTCCGTCCGTGAAGCTGTTGCAACAGCTTTTGAAGCGAATCTGCGCGGCGCTAAGGCGAGATATACATGATGAGAACGACCCACCCTCCATCCGTGCAACGGTTGCACAATTTTGAAACGAGTGCGGGCGGCGCAGAGGCGAGAACACCATTTTGAAAACGGTCCGCCCTATATCCTTGAAACCGTTGCAAGCGTTTGAAACGAATGTGCGCGGCGCTAGGGCGAGAACGGCATTTTGAAAACGACTCGCACTCCATGCGTGAAACTGCTGCGAAGTGTTAAAACGAATGTACGCGCCGCTACAGGGAAAACCACAATTTGCAAACCACCCGCCCTCCATCCGTGAACCTGTTGCAATTTTCCAGCTTCAGGGGCATAAGTGGCGAGGAACTCTCGAGCGAAACGCCCGACCCGCCCGACGGACACGTCTGCAGGTGCGACAGGGAGGTCTTCTTAGCACGGAAGAAGGATGGAGGGCAGGAGGTACCGCGCCAGTAACCGCCGGGGCGGCGGGGCCTGGAAGGCCGGCGCGGGCGAGAGGGTTGGAGGGGCGTTTCGATATTCGAGGTTCCAAGGTTTTCGGACGGTATGGGACGATCTGGTCTGACGTCCAACTTCATTACTTGATAGTTTCTGGACGTTTCTGGGCGACTTGTTCTGGCGTTTTCGTTGGTCTCCGAGACGACGACGGCGACGGCGACGACGACGACGCCACCGACGCCGACGCCGACGACCACTCCAAGCATGACGCCGACGCCGACGCTCTGGGAAGGGTTCGGGACCTCTGGGGCCGCGCATTGAAAAAATCGCGCTTGAAAAAATCGGGACTCGGCACATTTTCCAGCCCCGGGATGCCTTCCAGCGGCTGCGCCTCCCGAGGCGCCCTGGGGACGCCCGGATCGCCCCGAACGGCCGCCGCGCGCACCTGCGCCTGCGCGGGGCACGACGCCAGTTTTGGGCTTCTGGGGGCCCTCGCCAGGCCCCAAGACCGCCAAGAAGCGACTCGGGACGGAACGCCGGTCCCAAGGCGTCCAGACTTTGGGGGAGTCACAACTGCGAACAGAATCCCGACGTCGGATGCCCGGGTTGGACTCCCTGGACGTCCAACGTCTCGACAAAGTCAAATCGACGTGTTTCGGGGATGGACAGACCCCCCTTTAGTAAAACGTGGTTTAGTGAAAACGACCTGAGGCCCAAACCTGGCGGGCGCAAGCCTGGAAAATAACGGCCACGGCGCCCTCTCGAGAACCGAAAACGGACAATTCACTAATCGACGTGTCACTGTTGGGGGTTCTGTCCACCGCCGAGTGTTTGCTCGCAATCTTCGGGCTCCAGGGGCCCATGCTGTGCCCCAGGACCGGCTACAGGGGGCGGAGCCACCGATCTGCACTCGGCGACACCTCGCCGAGGTCGGCGGCAGGCCCTCGGTAGCGAAGCCCCACGCTCCTGGGCGGGGTGGGCTCTCGAGCCCGCGCCGGCGACGAGTGGGCGATTGGGGGGTCGGTGAAGTTCACCCCCCAGGCCCATCCCCCCCAACTCGGGGGCGCGCATAGATTAGCGATCCATGGATTTGGCGCGCAGTCGCCAAATCCATGGACCGGGGGAGGTGCCCTCCCCAAAATGCGGCCGGTGCCGCCTCGCTCGGCGGCGAGAATCCGCGATTTCCGATGGAAACGGGACCCGTCGCAAATCCACGCCCCCTTGATCCATGGTTGCGATCACCCAACTAACACTGCCCCTGAGCCCCTGAGCCTGCGGGTCGTCCAGCGCTGCGACCGTGGGAGGAAGAAACAGACGGCACGGCCACAACAAACTCGGGTGCGCCGAAGAGGGGGGGCCAGGAAGAGCGGGGGTCGGCGCATCAGGGCCTGAGGCCTGAGGCATGTGCGCGGCCGAGCCGAGAAGGGGGGGGGGGAGTGCGGGGCACGCGTCGAGAGAAGAGGAGGGGGCACGAGAACTGGGAGATTCGAGAGGCCAGGGCGTCGAGAGGGGGAGGGGGAGGGGGCCAGGGAAGGGAAGGGGGGAGGCCAGGGCGTCGAGAGAAGAAGAGGGGACACAAGATGACCCCGGCTATGAGATCCCCCTCCCCCAGTGCTCACCCACCTCTCGGACGCCACCAACAAACGTTTAGTGGTCCGCGCAGACGCCTCGGATCGGGCGCTGTGCTCCCCCCTGGCGGCGCTACCTTCGCCGATCCGAGAAGTCTGCGCGGACCTCCGAAAGGTTGTGTCTCGGGTGTTCGTTGACGGGGTGTAAATACGCGTGGGGTGACGCTCGTGCGCCTTTTGGGCCCGCGGTGGCAGTTTGGGGACCCTTTCGGGCAACTGTCATGCAATCCCCGATCCCCCTGCGTTTGATCATCCCCCGTGGCCGTCCCCCGAAAGTTTGTGGCCGCGCCGTCTTCTCTCCTCCGGGATCAGCAGCACCTCCGAGAAACGGCTCCCCTCGTCTATGGAGGCCAGCGCTGTGCAGGCCGCACTGCGGACGCTGAAGGACGTGTCGTTCTGCACCTCGGGGGGGGGGGGGGCGAAAAGGGGGGGAATGGCTCAGATTAGGAAGCAACTCTCGGAAGGTCGTCGTAAGAACGATAGGGCTGTTAAGTCAGACTTAGGAGTCATCGAGATTAGCCAGACTTGAATTGTATGAATCTAGGTTTAGCGGGATTGTGCTGGATTGGGCAGGTTCTTGACCACGGATCTGCCAGCGCCGATGCTGAACTTTACTCTCCGAAGAGCTCCATCCGGAAGGGGGAGGGGCTGGATCCGAGGGGGAACTTTGGCTTGGGATCGGCGACGCGTCGCCGATAGGTCGGCGAGAATGACCTCACGCGAAACGCTTCTTTTCAAAATCCGCGCGTCCTGGTGGCGGTGGAACGTCGCTCTGTTCCCCTCCTGGACCTCTCCGATCTGCATTTGTACGTACATGTGCACGTAAAACGTACGGCTCGTTTGCGAGACTGCATTGGCGCTTCGCTCCATGCACCTTGGGCCGTCGTTTTCGGACTGCGGGCGGAATGGTATAGATGTGGATCAGTAAACGCACGTATCATTGGTGCCGTTTCCGCCGTCGTCGTTATACTATGGTTTTCCGTGTCATCCCATCATTTTTCCGCTTCCTCGTTCTCGCCTAATCCTGCGAACTCTTTCGCGTCCTTCTCAGCTTCTTGGCAGAGGATCAGTATTGGAAAGCCTCTTTGGGCTCTCACGAAAACTTCTCAAGAGTGTCTTTGGGCTTGTGGAGGCCTTCTGGGCAACTTTGGGGGCCTCTGGGGGGCTTCTTCGGGCCACCTTGCTGCGAACATGCCCTCTCCCTCAACGAACGGGTCACAGTTTAGAGTGTTTCGGGGGGCGTCTTTTAGGCCACATTGGTCTGTTGTTGGATGGGGCTCTCTTCGAGCCATCATGGGGCCCTGTTGGGCCGTTTTGGGGCTCTCTTGGACTGTCTATCAATATTTCTGGGTCGTTTTCGGATGATCTCCAAGGCCTCCTGGACGGTCTTGGACGCTCGGGAAACAGAGGAACACAGTATCAACAAATCGTACAGCAACCAATCGGACATCCGTATTTGTTGCGTTTGGAGGGCCTCTTCAGACTGGTGCTTGGGCTGTTAGGGTCTCTCGCGGGGCCGTCTGGCCAGCCTCTTGATCGCTCTGGGCTCGCTGGCTAGGCCCAACGAGGACGTCCAGGAGACCCGCAAGTCCTGGGAGACCCTCTGAGAGGGCGTCCAGGGGTCCGACGGTTCTGGCTTCGGGGGGGGGGAGGGGATGCGACTTCCATCGCGCGACCCTTCGAGTCTGAGCGCGCTTCTAGCTCCTCGCTGGCAGAACCGTGGACTCCTGGGCGGGCAGGCTGGGCCCAGGCCCTGATCGGCGAGAACGTGGGGTCGATGCCTTCCCCCCTGGGCCAGCCCCCCCCCTCCATGGGAAAGGAACGACCGGCTGGACAAACCGAAACTGTCAGAGGTCTGCATGGATTGCTCGGATCGGCGCCAGAGCTCCCTGGTAACGCCTCCTGAACCAGCGCTGGCGCGCTCTGTGCGCCAGGGAGGGGCGCCCAGCGACGATCCAGGAAACTCATGCGGACCTCCCGAAGTCTATGCTTATGCCGTTTTTTTCCACTGAGCATCTTGTCTGTAAGGGCTATCTATGATGCCTCTGACGCCCGATGAGGAGGCGGGCGCCTCGAAATCGGTGGCCCATCGTAGCCCCCATCTTGCCCCCCAACCCCGACATCCGACGTGGCGTTTCGTTAGCAACGTGGCTGCCTCCCAAAATAATCGGTTGACGGTCCCAAAGCCTGGTGAGACACAACATTTGAAGAAAAGCTTTCCGCCGCGATTGTTTGACATCGAGGGGATGTCAAGGAACGTGTGCCTCCCCATCGCGGCCCCCCACCGTGAAATGTGTAAAGCTGTCTAGAGTCTTCTGCCACGGGGGTGTCGCTCTTATTGGACCCCCGCCACTGCCCCGGGAGCACCGCGGCGGCCAGCTTCAGGCCGATGTCAATCTCCCTGTCGTCGATCTCGGACTCTCCCTTGACCAGGAACCTCACGAGCGGCGAACGTAACTGTCCGAACCCGCGCCCCCGCGGTCTGCATTCCGATGCGCGAACCCGCGGATACGCAGCCCCGCGGGGCGAAAAATTGCCCCGCATCCGCGGGGTCGCGGCCCGTGGGCTCGGCCCGCGAGGCCACCCACGGGAACGGATGTCTTCCGCCAGCGAGAACCTGCCGACGCCCAGCGCCCCGAGGCCCTCGGCGGCGGCGGCCCGCACCTCCGACTCGTAGTCCCGGAGCACGGCGACCAGCTGCTCGATGAGCTCGACGGCCGGCTCGCCGATCCGCCCGGCGGCCCGGGCGGCTGCCCTGCGGACCTGCGAAGACCTCTCGTTGGCGCGCCCAGGGGGCGACCCTCCGATCCGGGCGTTGCCGTGTGTTCACCGCGGGCGTGTTTTCCCAAACTCGGGCCCTGGGGCCCTCAGAGAGCGATCTGGCTCGGAGAACGACGCAGGAAAACTGGGTGCGGGGCTCCTCTTCCAACCCCCTTCTCCCCCTTCGGGGAGGGGCTTATCATTGTTCCATTTTAATATACACCCTCTCACCCAGGCGACTGGCGACCAACCAGGAATTATGACGACACCATGAGGGCCCGCCACCCTCCACCCCTGCCAAAAAACAAAAACAAAACCGCATTCTGCCTCCACAATTGGAGCATGCGCGGCCAGCCCGATGCGGTACCCCCAACCATCCCTATCGAAAAACAATGCAAAGTGTACGTTGGGGCAAAGTCTTGAGTCATGTTCGTGAGGCGCGCGAATACTTTGTAATGTTTTTGACAGGGACGGCGGGCGTGCAAGCATATTCCCTGCCGTGCGCAGGGCTACCCTCCCTGACACAAACAATACAACATGCACCTCGCGGCTACATCTGGATCATGCACCGCCATCCCGCGATCACTGTCAAATGGTTTTTGACAGGGACGGCAGGGGGGGGTGGCGCGTAGCCTGCTGTGCGCAGGCCCACCAGACACAATTATGGGCATTGGTTTTCGACAAGGGTGGCGGGGGCCGACATGTTTCCCGATGTGTGCTGTAACGTGCGCAGGCGCACCTGATGCACTCTGCACGTGCCCCGAACATGGCACAGCTGGCGCACTCGGAGCACGTGGCGCATCTGGCGCACCAGGCGTGCCTAACACGCTCGCCTGGCGTGCATGGCGCCACTGGCACGCGTGGCGCACCTCGCAAAAGCGTCGCGCACCCGGGGTTGGCTTTGGTTCCCAGATACTGCACATCCAAAGACGACTGCTGAACATGCTCAGGCTCGGGTGTTTCTTATGTGTTGGGAGGGCGGGTAGGAGTGAGCTAGACGGCTTGCGGGCGGGTGGGTAGCCTACCCCCTCCCCTGGACCAGGACTGGGGGGGACGCTGGTAGTTGGAGGGTTCAAGATGGCCCAAGACGGCTCGAAGAGCGCCTCGGAGAGCCCAAGATGAGCTCCAATATGGTTCTAGACTGCCTAAGATACCTCAAGGTGGCTCCGAAGATGCTCCCAAAGGCCCCAACACCGCCCCAAGACGGCTCCAAGAGGCCTCCGAGACCTCCAAGGAGGCCTTCAAGAGGCCAACATTCTTCGAACACATGAGAAAAACCAATGATGGTTGCATCGTCGCCAGTTCGCCTTCGATAGCCTTCCGAGGTCTCAAGATGGCTTCAATATGGCCCAAGAGGGCCCCAAGAGAGGCCCAAGAGAGCCCCAAGGCGGCCCCAAGAGCGCCCCAAGAGGGGTCCAGGAGGCGATGTTGGGGGCTCCTGAAGGGCAGCGCTTATTGGGGGACCTCTCTTTTTTGGTCGATGTCCTACAAGATGGCTCCACGAGCGTCCCCAAAGCTCCCAAGAGCGCCCCAAGAAGGCCCCAAGAGGCATCCAGACGGCCCCAAGAGGCGCCCGAGAGGCCTCCAAGAGGCTCTCAAGAGGCCCCCGAGAGGCTTCAAGAGGGTCCCTGAGGCACCCAAGATGCCCCCCCCCAGACGCTCCAAGAGGCCTCAAACAAAAACAAGACACATCCGAGAAGGCTCTTCTGATCGTCTCCGTGTTCCTCCTCCTCCTCCTCCGCCTCCTCCTCCATTTCCTCATCCTTCTCCGCCTCCTCCTCATCCTCCTCCTTATCCTCCCTCCTCCCGTATCTCTCTCTCTCTCTCTCTCTCTCTACCGCCTCCTCCTCCGTCTCTTCCGCCTCCTCCCCCTCCGAGGGCAAGAAGAGGTACGCGCGAAAACCACGACAGTCGGTATGCTTCGCCAAAGTTGCTGTCTTGGGATGTGCTGATGGGGACACGCGCAGAGTCGATAAGCTGTGCGATGCTGCAAGTTTTGGCAACCTCGAATCTGAGAGAAGGCAGGAAGGGGCGGGCCTTCTCAGGAGACTCTGGAGACCTCCGTCCGTCCGAGACGCTCTCTGAGCCCTCTCCGACGCAAAAGAGGGCGTCTCATGAGCACGGGGGGCGTCTGAGAGGCCCCGCCGCCTGCTGGGAAGGCCTGCCCCCTCGAACTTCCCTCTCGGCGCGCTGCCGAGCCTTGGGAGGCAACTCTAGGGCGGTACTCGTGGTAACGACTACGGCAGGACTTCGGCCACGAGAGCCTTCGACGAGGAACGCAGGCCCTGAAACCCAATGGTTCTGACGGATTCAAGGTGTGGGGGCCCTGGCGTTCCCACTCCTGCAAACCGCTCAGAGCCTAGAACCCCAGGGCACCTCAGCAGAATACAGCTGGTCTGAAATACGCGTCTCCACTGCAAGGCTGTTCAGAAGCCTGATTCAGCGGCCATCGGGCCGGATGAGGCCAGATCGAGTCCAAGAAGAGGCCTCATAGAAACGGGATTGATACAGAGGAGGGGGGATTGGGTCGGAGTAGGACGGTATGCGACCGCGGATATGCAAGCGCCGATGCTGAGTTTACGTCAGTGCCTCCCCAAATGGGCATTCAGAAGACAAGGACCTGAGCCGATGCGGCAAAGTGGCGCTCTCCTGCCGCCTTCCTGCAACAACCAGCGCGAAAACGGCATTGTTTCATGCCACGTTCCAGCACCTTCCTGCGCGCTGACGGAGTACCCGCTGCGGCTGGGTGGGGGCCTCGACGGCACCACCACAACGAGCTCATAACCAGCAGTCTGGGACATGCTGGGGCTGCAAGTAGCAAGAAAACAGTCTGGAACAAAATCACAAAAGGAACACGGACAGGAGGCGGGGCACCTGCCAGTACCAGGGTCGAAGCAGCCAGTTTCAAGGCGTTGAAAATAGGCGCCCGCCTCCTGAAGAGGAACGAAAGTAAGGAAAAACCGCTCGAGTATTGAAATAGGAAGGTGCCTCGAAATACATACCCACTTCCAACGAGCGATGGGCAAGGGCGATCGAACCCGATGAAATGGCCAATGATCAAAATCATACGAGATCATGGCCCAAGAGGACGCCGGGTCAGGCGGGATTAAGCTGGATACCCAGACGTCCTCCGATCTGTTTTTTTCAATCCGCGGCTCTACATCTCCCGACTCCTTCCCCAAGTGTGGCTTTGCTTCCCGCATCCGTGTTCGATGGTCCCAGGGCCCGAAAGCGGCCCCCGGAAGCCGAAAAGGGTGAAAACGCCACGGTTGAAATAATCATGTCGTCGGAAGTATGGGTAAGCGGACCAAGGCCTGAGTGGAACAATCTTCGACCGCGGGCATACTAGCGCCGATGCCGCATCCAACCTCCCAGGAGAGCGCTTTCATTTTCCCCAGCGACCGCGTGCGTGACCAGGAGGGTCTCGGCCGGTCACGGGCGTGATCACGAATAGTACAAGATGGGCCCCAGTGTCCAGCAGGGTCGGGCCAGAGATGGTTTTCCTCCCGGGCGCGGCTTCCAGGCGCCCCAGAGCGATCCAACAGGGCCCCAAGAGGCGCCCAAGACGGTCCAACAGGGCTCCGAGTCGTCGTGCGATCGGTCCGAGACACCCAAGATGGCTTCCAGACGGCTCACGACGCGTAGAAGACCCCCGAAGAGGCCACCAAGAGGCCCCCCGAGAGGGCCCCAAGAAGGCCTCGAGAGGGCCCCAGGCATTGCAGCCCGGGAGGGCCTGTCCGCACACAGTCCCACCACCCCGTCGAGGTGTGGGCCGGCCACCTCGCGCCCCAGCGCGCCCAGCGCCTCTGCGGCAGCGGCCCGCACCTTCCTGTCCTTGTCGCCCAGGCCCTCGGCGGCTACGCGGAGCGCGAACTTCTCAACCCGCTCCTCGGAACTGGCAAGGAGATTCATCCCGGAGAGCCCTGGTCGCCACGGCTGGATTCGCCTCGGGGTCTTGGCGTTCGGCCGCCTTGGGCCATCCTGGTGCCCTAGGTTGCCTGCATGGGCCGTCTTGGAAGCTCGGGACGCGGGTCCATCATTTTGAGCCAGGGCTCCTGGCCGCGGGAGCACGGATCCAAATTGTTGTAAGGTGCTTGCGAAGGATCGTTGGCTCGGGAGAGGGGGGCATGCACGCAGCAATCCGCCAGCAGGGGGGGGGGGCATCGACATCATTTCGTCCGATCAGCTCCTGGCCCAGGGAGGCCAGCATCCGCATGGCGGGAGAAGAGAAGGCGACACATTCAGATACACTTTCGAGCGTCCGAACGATATCATTTCGTCCGATCAGCTCCTGGCCCAGGGAGGCCAGCATCCGCATGGCGGGAGAAGAGAAGGCGACATATTCAGATACACTCTCGAGCGTCCGAACGGGCTTCCCGGCTCGGCGCTGGCCCTCCGCCTCCACTGGAGCGCGGAGCACGCAGGGGGGCGACGCCCCCAGAGACATCCGACCTCGTGACTGTTCCCAACTCTCCTGTGTTGGGTTCTTGTTTGTTTTGAATAAAGCACTGCTCGCGCGACTTCTCCACCTCCTCCTCCTCCTCCTCCACCGCCTCCTCCTCGTCCTCCTCCTCCACCTCCTCCTTTTCCTGCACCTCCTCCTCCTCCTCCTCCTCCTCCTGCCTCCTCCTCCCCCTGCCTCCTGCCTTCTCCTGCGCTGCTCCCTGAGAGGCTGAGCAACTGTTGCCACTTTCGTGGGCTCCTGGGAGGTCCAGCGGAGTCGAGGGCCACGCGCACCCATTTGAGACCTCGCGGCTCCCTGGGTGGCTGCGAACTGCGCGCCTGTTGCCACTTTCGTGGGCTCCTGGGAGGTCTGGCGGGGTCGGGGGCCACGCGCACGCATTTGAGACATCGCTGCTCTGCGCAACTTTCGCCACTGTCGTGGGCTCCTGGGAGGGACGGCGGAGTTGAGGGCAGCGCAGATCCATTTGAGACCTCGCTGCTCCCTCGGGGGTTGACAGTCAAATCCCGTGGGCTCCTCGGAAGCACGGCAGATGTAATGGCAGCGCAGATCCATGTGAGACCTCGCTGCTCCCTCGGGGGCTGCGAGATGCGCAACTCTCGCCACTTTCGTGGGCTCCTGGGAGGCACGGCGGAGATGAGGGCTGCGCAGATCGTGCATATCTGGCAATGTGGTCTTTTGTATGGAGCGTCCATACCAATATTTGGGCACGTCTCGGGTAATTAATTTCTCAACGTGGCTCCCCGGAGGGCTGGACCCCTTCCCCAGGACCAGCTTTTCATCCCGAACCGTTTTTTGACGGTCCCGGGGCCCGCCGAGGGCCCTGGGAGGCCAAACGTGTGGCAAACACAATCCTCTGCCTTGTTTTTTCTTCTTTTTCTCACGACGTGAAGATATCTGGGCCGCCTTGGAACGCCGCCTGGGAGGTCCCAGCGCCTGTCCAAGAAGTCCGCGCGAACCTCCGAAAACTTCTGTTCATGTCGTGTTGTCTTCTGCGAGCATCCGGGTGCTGCTCGAAGCGGTCTTGGCCCAAGGTGCTCCCAGGCTTTCGGCCATGAATGGGGTCTCTGCGGCCCTCTGGGCCTCATTAGGTGTGCTCTGGAAGCCCTCTGGGTCTCCTCGGGAATCCTGGGGACACCCTGGGCCACGGACACATTTGGCAACACCCGGGGCATGGCCGCCTGCCGCACCTCGACCACCGCGTCGCGCAGGGCGTGGTCCACCAGCTTGTCGCCACAGCGGGCCACCTGGTCTGCCTCGAAGGTGGAGAGCTCCTTTCAGGGGGCAAACTTCTGGGAGCTACGTGGTGACCATGAACCCGTTGTTACCTTCGGGTTTGGGCAGTCTCTCGCGGTCTTCAAACGATCTTCGGCTGTCTTCTGACAGTCCTCGGCGGTCTTTGGTGGTCTTTGGCGGATTCTTGAGGTCTTCGGCGCGAAAGCTGGGCGGCTGCGTTCAACCATGGTCTAACAATTGATGGGAGACTCCGGAAAAAAAAACCTTTCGAGCCGATTGAGCCTTATTGCTGTTGAGCCAGGTTGGGTCCGATTAAGCGATTCGGGCTGGGGCTGAGCTGGATTAAGCAGATTGAAGCAGGAAAGTCCCGAATAAGGCTGGTGTTCGAGCACGGATGTACCATCGCCAATGCCGAATTTTATCCCCCACGAGTTGCGCCCGCACTCCTGGAAGGCAGCGAGCCGCTCGTGCCACGAGGGCACGTCCAGGTCTCTCTCCAGCAGCTGCCTTATCCTGAGCTCCCTCTTGTTCGAGGAGTCCATGGTGGGTAATCCTCAACACTCCGCACGGAGGGCCACAGACCACCGACGACTTTATCTGTTCGAGCTGCGGGTCCCGAGCCCATCTTCTGGGGCCAGCTACTGGCGTTGAGCTCTGTTTCGGCGTCCCTGAAGAGGCCGAACCTGACGAGACGAAGAACGCATGCGAGAAACCGTAAAACCTTCGGAGGAACGGGCGGAATTTTGGGATCTGCGCTGGCCCCCTTCCCTGGCGCGCGGAGGGCGCCAGGGGCGCGCTTTGTGAATGTCGTGCGTCCTTCATCCATGTGCAACGGCTGGCATCCCGGGGCCGGTCTTCTTCTTCGTCTTCTTCTTCTTCTTCTTCTTTTTCTTCTTCTTCTGCGTGCAGCTACTGACCGAGGATGGCGCTGGACAGGGAACGACGGGGCTCTTCTGGCCACGGCGAGCCTCGGCCTCAGGCCGCCAAGCCCAGATCCAAGGACCTGCAGTGGTCCGTGCCCCATCTTCTCGACGATCTGCTCAACGTTCTCCACCGCCCTGCGAGGGGCGCGCCGTCCGTGGGGTTCTGCCGCCTCGGGCCGCTGGGGGTCTGGGGCCGACGGCTGCTGGATGGACGGGGGTGACGGAGGCGGTGCGGCGGACGAGGCCCCGAGGAGGCGGCGGGAGGGGAGGGCGCGGGGAGGGGAGCGGAGCCTGGCTCGAGCCAAACGGGCTTGAGCCAGGCCCAGGGTATGCGGCGGAGACGCGTGTCAGGAGACCGCGTGTTCGGCCCGGGAGGCGTGGGCTTCTGGGTTCTGGGCGGTGTACACGGTGTGCAGTGGGGCAGAGGGAAGGCCAGGGTCCTCCCATGTCTTGAATCCATCGGAACGCTTCTGGCACGCCCGAAATGGGTACGGGAAACAATTGGTAGGATGCCCAAAAACACATATTATCCCAAACCGACAGCGGCCGCTGTTGCCCAGCCGACTTGTTGCCTCAAGTGGACAACGTCCGCGGCGAAGCCGACAGCGAATCCTGTTCAGCGTGGACAATGGTCTTCGTCCGCATTCTTTCCGTACCCACCTCGATCCTCCAGATTCTTGGATCTCGGGGTTGGGGTTCTTTTGGAGGTGTCCTGTGGCCGAGACCCTATTGCACGGAAAAAAGCAGAAACAGCAGCAAGAGCGGGGTGCAGAAAGGTGGGGGGGCCTCAGACGGGTGAGAGCTCGACGAAAGGTCGCCGCTTGACTTCGCTTGTTCTGCAGACCTCGGCGTCGAAAGACGATTTCTGAACCCTGGGGCTTGGGTAAAACGGTTCATGGTGAAGCAGCAGCTCTGGGGAAGGAGTCGACATTGCCAGTGGCCCACGACGCGAGGGCATCGATAGCCGAGGTTTGGCGGGGGCCGCATGGGGAGCGAGAGGGGCAGCACGGGCGGGAGCGGGAGCAGGAGCAGCAGGAACAAGGGGCGCAAGAGTGCTCAGCAGAGAGAGTAGAACAGAGAGGGGTGACGAGGCCGGAAGCAGCGGCGAGAGACGAGCAAAGGGAGGAAACAGTGGCGCAGACGGAGAAAAGAGTGGCGCGATGGGTGCGGCTCAGAACATCAAGACTTGAGTGTAGACTTGGGGCAGGTCAGAGGAGCAGGAGAGAATAGATAAGTTGAGGGATGGAGGGAGGGGGAAGCGAGGAGGAGGAGGGCAGACTTGACATGCGGGAACGTTGCGAGAGTGTGCCGAAAGAGGCGGGGACTGGACCAAACCTTGATCAGGACTTTCATCACCCTCATTCCCGCCTGGTGCATCGGGGTGGCCGGGAGTCTCTGAAAAGATAACCGTCCACTGGGCTAAAACAGGCGGTTCGCATGATGGGTCCCGACACTCTGGGCGCGGACGGGCCCGTGGAACACCCCCAGTCGACACACCTTTGAAGACTCAGCCCCACGGTCTCTCACCCAAAGGGTTTGCGCTCCGACAGGGATACTTGTTTCTTAAGTGTTTGGGTGGGCGCGTCGAGGTCTCGCCATGGGCCTCGGTGGTGTCCGCCCGTGCCGCATGCGGGTGGGTAAAGCAGGGCTTCGTCTGGAGCCTCCCCGTGGAAGCCTCGTGGGCGCCCCATGCGCTTGGTGCACCACATAGCGCGCACCACACAACCTACCACACATATTGTATCACATAGCTTGCACAACATAGCCTTCACCGCAACGCTTGCATCAACTATAGCGCATCTTGCACAGGGTGCATCATGTAGCTTGCTACGCATAGCTTGCACCTCGCAGGTTGTATCACATACACGGCTTCACAATATTTAATATAGTAGCTTGAGGTATGCAGCTTTCGCCACTCTATGGCACACCATATGTTGCACCACGTAGTTTTCAGCACAGATCTTGCACCACAGATGTTGCCCCAGACACAGAACGCCTGACATAGCGTACAACGCATCGATGGTACATCGAGGGTGCTAGCGCCTAGTTACTGGTTGGGGCCCACGCTAGCATGGATGTAGCAAAATATGAGTGTGTCTGAGTATTACGGGGTCTGAGTATGATCGGGTCCGATTATGAGTGGATATGCATGCGAGTGGGTGTGACCATGATTGAATCTGAGCGAGTCCGAGTCTGAGTGCGTTTGCCTGAATATGATTGAAAAATTTTAAAACAAGAGAGAGAGAGAGAGAGAGCCCGCATACACTAAGAATTGGTCCCCGCCTGGTTTCTCATCCTGGAATTGTGCGTTGACAGCCCGTGGGCCCGCAAACGGGCCTCGAGAGGCAGAAAGAAAGGAAAAGAGGCATCAATCCTCGAACCTCGATCTCTTCTTCTCATGGCGAGCAAAGAGCCCGAAACAAAAGAAGTGCGCGCCCAGCCGACACGTACATCCGCCACCGTGCCTCTGGGCACGGAATGGGCGCGTCCTCAAGGTCTTTCCCCAATCCTCTCAGCCTCTATCCTCAATCCTGAAGAATCGTTACGAGGCCCCGACCCCCAATTCCGGAATTTTCCAGGGCTGTCCGCGTTCCCCCTGGGATCCGGGAAGTGCTCCCGCGTGAATATTTCGGCCCCAAGAAAGCCCCAAGACTGGCCAAGAGGGCCCAGAGTCGCCGAGCGATCGCTCCAAGACGCTCAAGATGGGCCCCAGACGGCCCAAGGGGCCTCCAACACGCCCAAAGAGGCCTCCCAGAGGCCTCCAACGAGGTCAAAATCAATGATTTTCCAATGGTTTTCGAATGGTTTTGGCGTTCTCGCCTGTTCGGCTTCCCAACGCTCCCAGACGACGGCCCTGGAAGGCCCCAAAAACGCCCCAAGACAGCCCAAGAGGCCTCCAAGAGGGTCTAGAACGGGCCAAGAGGGCCCCAAGACGGCCCAAGAGGTGCCCAAAACAGCTCACGAGACGGCTCCATCAGGGGCCCAAGAGAGGAACCGGAACCGAAACTCCGAGCCGCCCAGGAGGCTCCCAAGAGGCCCTAAGATTGGTGCCCCAAGAGGCGGAAAAGAGGTCCCAAGAGGCCCCAAAACGGTCCCCAAGAGGCGTCCAAACTGCCTCCAAGGAGGTCCCCGAGAGGCCTCCCACGAGATCCCAACGAACATTCACTGGGCTTCACACCCGCAACCCAAGTACGGTGGCAGGATGATCCGAAGGCCATATCATTTGATTCGCCGCTCCCTATTGGCTTACCACAGGGGTGCCTGGCGTGCTAAACCCTATACGGTTTGGTTTTGTTTCTTTTCCAACAAAAACTCTCCCTGGGGCTTCGGCACAGCACGCTGGCAAAACGGAAGGCCGCACATACGACCCCAACGTCCGGAAAAAGTTCCCCGAGACGGTCCGAGATGGCATCCAAGACGGCCAAGATGGGCTCCAATGTCGCCCAGGATGGTCCAAGATGGCCTCCAAGACGACCCGAGAGGGTCCAAGATGCCTCCAAGTCTGCCCAACAAGCCTCCCAAACGGCCCAAGACGGCCCCCAAGAGGCCTCCAAGACGGCCTCCACGAGGTCATTTAGGAGTCCAGGAGGGCCCGAGGAGGCCAACATCATTGATTTCCCTCAAGATTGTGAAGGATTTTGACATTTGCTTCTTTTCTGCCTTCCAACGGCCTAAGACGGCCCAGGAAGCATCCAAGATCGTCCCCAGGGCGCCCAAAATGCCTCCAAGATGGCCCCAAGATGGCCCAGGGAGCCCCCAAGACGGCCCAGATGGGGGTCGTAATCCCTTAATAAACGAACCCCCTGAATTATTCACTGCGTGGAGCTCCCCATATGTGCATCTATTCGCATGGACCTGTCCGCCGTGAATGTCTAGGCGCAAGAGCTTTCGAATATAAACGGGCGTCAGTTGTGGCGGTCTGGTCATGGATGTAACTGCGAATGAATTGGAGTGTGAATGAGCCTCAGTAGTACGAGCGCGTCTCTGCGCATGAGCCTGGGGCCTCCTGGGGCCTCCTGAAACCTACTGGGGCTTCCTGGGGCCTCCAGGAGCCTCTTGGGGCCTCCTGGGGCCTCCTGGGGCCTCCTGGGACCTCCCAGGGAGGCTTCGTGCCCCAGGAGAGGCACAATCTATAGCAACCGACGTGCATAAAACATTGCGGATTGGAGCCACAGGAGAAGGGCAATCTACAGGAACACTCGTAAAGCACCAAGGACTCGTGCCCCAGGAGAGGCCCAACGTAAAACGTTTAGGATTGTGTTCACAGGAGAAGGACAATCTATAGAAACACATGTATAACGTCAAGGATTCGTGCTCCAGGTGAGGCCCCATCTATAGGAGCATACGTAAAACACATAGGATTGGAGCCATTCCTGTTGCCTTCTGAGGCCTCCTGCTCCTGGGGCCTCTCGGAGCCTCGTGTTGCCTTCCGAAGTCTCCCGGCGCTTCCTGTGGCCTCCTGGGGCCTCCTGTGGCTTCCTGAAGCCTCCTGGAGCTTCCTGGGGCCTCCTGGAGCCTCTTGGGACATCTTGTGGCCTCTTGAGTCTTTCTGTGGCCTCCTGATGCCTCCTGGGACCTCATGTGGTCCCCAGGGGCCTCCTGGAGCATGTTGGAGCATCCTGTGGCATCCTGAGGAGAACCTGTGCCCACGAATCTGGCCACCAAAAAAGGCAAACCGCTTGAGACATCCTCAAAATCTGGCCCACCTGGGGTGTGAAAATTAGCGCCTCGCTCGAGACATCCTCCAAATCTGCTCCGAAAGCGAAGGATGTTGGAACAAAAAACAAGCAAACCGCTTGAGACATCCCCACAAAACGGCCGCGAACGGGACCGTGTCATACCCCTCGGCGGCTCCACTTAGGGGCGTGAAAATGAGCGCCTCGCTCGAGACATCCTCCAAATCTGCTCCGAAAGCGAAGGATGTTGGGACAGAAAACAAGCAAACCGCTTGAGACATCCCCACAAAACGGCCGCGAACGGGACCGTGTCATACCGCTCGGCGGCTCCACTTAGGGGCGTGAAAATGAGCGCCTCGCTCGAGACATCCTCCAAATCTGCTCCGAAAGCGAAGGATGTTGGGACAGAAAACAAGCAAACCGCTTGAGACATCCCCACAAAACGGCCGCGAACGGGACCGTGTCATACCCCTCGGCGGCTCCCCTTAGGGGCGTGAAAATGAGCGCCTCGCTCGAGATATCCTCCAAATCTGCTCCGAAAGCGAAGGATGTTGGGACAGAAAACAGGCAAACCGCTTGAGACATCCCCACAAAACGGCAGCGAACGGGACCGTGTCATACCCCTCGGCGGCTCCCCTTAGGGGTGCTGAAACCAGCGCCCAGCCTGAGACATTCTCACAACCTGCTGTGTGTAGAGTAAGTCAGACAATGAGAAGGCCTGATTATGAGTAAGTCTGGGTATGAGTGAGTCTCAGCATGAGTAAGTCTGAGTATGAGTAGGTCTGAGTATGAGTAGGTCTGAGTATGAATATGTCTGTGTATGAGTAGGTCTGAGTATGAGTAGGTCTGAGTATGAGTAAGTCTGTGTATGAGTAAGTCTGTGTATGAGTAAGCCTGGGTATGAGAAGGAGGAGAAGAAGAAGAGGAAGGAGTAGGACGCGTCCAAGTAATAACAAGAACCCCATCTTAGGATATGGGGAAAAACCAGACCCCCCTTAAATTGCAACTCAATGAACCAGACTCCCCTTCCAACCAGGGGCCTTAATATTTCGGACCCCCCCTTTGCGAAATGGCATGTGTGAGTCACGATGTCGGCCGCGATGGCACAAGCGATGGCAACTGATTGCAATGCGAGCGTTGAGGCTGAGACGCAAGCCTCTCCAAGGGAAGCCGCCGTTTAAAATGAGTGCTTATGGTATTGATGATGGTGATGACAACGGTGCTATTAAATGATTGTTGTGGCGATGGATACTGTGATGTCAACTACGAGACGGATGACGACGATGGCGATGATGATTCGCAAAGCCGGCCAAGAAAACGAAACTGCATGCGAACAGCCGCATACGTTTGAACAAAACAGCGAGTGCGCAAATGCGCTTCACTACACCCGACCCCCAGACCCCACAACTTCCTGTTTGAAGAAACAGCCCTGATTAACCGGACCCCCTCACTTCCCAAAGAGACGCCTCAAAAAACCAAACCTGGGGGACGATTATCAAGGGATAAAAAGAGGCCTCCATGACGGCCAACATGGTCTCCAAAACGGCCCTGAAGCACCCCAAGAAGGCTTCAAGACGGTCCACAGAGGTCCCCAAGACGGCTCCCGACGGCCCAGGAACAACACCCAGGCCCCGAACAAGCCCCCCCAAAAAGCCCCCAAGAGGCCGAATAAGACCCCCTAAGAGGCCTCCAAGAGTCTCCCAGGAAGATCCCAGGAGACCCCAAGAGAGCCCCAAGAGGTCGTCTCCTCCTCCTCCTCCTCCTCCTCCTCCTCCTCCTCCTTCTGTTCCTCCTCCTCCCCTTCCTCCTCCTTCTTCTCGTCCTCCCTTTTCCTTCTTCTCCTCATTCTCCTCTTCCTCACGCGTTTCCCGAAGGGTTTCAACGACGGCCGGGGGAACACATGGTCCGATAACTTGGCTAAACTCTCACCGAACTTGCGGCCACTCGGGCGCTTCCAAACAGGCATGTGGCGGCGGTGATTGGACGTAGGCATCTTCGATAAACACAGCCCCTCCAGTCCGTGAAGCCAGCCTCGCGTTACGAACGTTTGCGCAATGCATACAACCCACGCCCAACCCACCAGCCCTCTGGGCGTAGGTGGTCTGGGGCGGCTTCTCTTCCAACCCCCTTTTCCCCTTCGGGGAGGTGTTTACCCCACCCCTACTGCCCCCTCCCCTGGACCTGGAGGGGGGGTTCGCGAGGCGTTGGAGCGTCCAAGATGGCCCAGGATGGCTCCAAGAGGGCCTCAGAGAGCCCAAGATGACCTCTAAGATGGCTCAAAATAGCCAAAGATGGCTCCAGATGGCTCCCAAGATGCTCCTAGAGGCCCCACGACCGCTCCAAGACGGCTCCAAGTGGCCACAGAACCTCCCCAGGAGGCCGCCAAGAGGCCAGAATACTTCAAACACATAGGGAAAATAAATGAATTTGGCAGTCTCGCCTTTTTGTTTTCGATGGTCTGACGAGGCCTCCAGATGGCTCCACGAGGGCCCACGAGGGCTCCAAGAGAGGCCCAAGAGAGCCCCAATACGGCCCAAAGAGCGCTCCAAGAGGGATTCACGACATGAATTCAGGCACTCTTGAAGAGCAGGGCTAATTAAGTATGTACCTCCCCTTGTTTGATCGATCTCCTCCGAGATGGCTCCAAGAGCGCCCCCCAAGAGCGCTCCCAAGGCTCCCAAGAGCGCCCCAAGAGGGCCCCAAGAGGCGCCAAGGAGGCCCCAAGATGCCCCCAAGAGACTCAAAAGAGACCCCCAAGAGGCTCTAAGAGCCTCCGCGAGGCACCCAAGACACTCTAAGAGGCGCCCGGGACCGCCAAGAGGCTCCCAAGACGCCCCAATAGGCACCCAAGCTCGCAATCTTCCTTTTCCTCTTCCTCTTCTTCTCCTCCTCCTCATCTGCCTATTCCTCTTCCTCTCTCCTCCCTCCTCCCCCTTCCCCTCCACCTCCTCCTCCTTCTCGCCCTCTTCTTCTTCTTCCTCCTTCTCCTCCTCCTCCTCCTCCTCCTCCTCCTCCTCCTCCTCCTCCTCCTCCCCCTCCAATTCCTACTCCTTCCTCCCCCTCTAGGTGTACGACGGTTTCTCCAGCTCTTTGTTCCTCTGTGTGCTCTCCCACTTCTCTGATCAGGGCAACTCGCCTGGGCATGGTTTCTGGATGGACTGGTGTGGACACGCAAAGCCTCAATTTGTGCACGTCCCCAGACATCCGACGACGTGTATTCTTCAATCCGTGGCTCCGTTCGTCCCAAATCCAATTCTGACGGTCCCCGGACCCGGTCACGGGCACTTGAGGGCGAAATCGACAAAAAGGAACCAAACTGCCAAACTGACAAAAGAAACGCCGTCGTAGATCCCGGTGCTTCGCTCCTGCGAGGCCGCCCGCGGCTGTTCTGGCCTCGGCCATGCGCGTCTCCAGCGTGTAGTTCGCCTGCGGCCCGGCAGGCTCGCCGGCGCTGCGCCGAGGAGGGGGGGGGCGCTCCCCTCTGAGAGACATAAGACTCGGGGTCGTCGGGCGGGTGGTAAATGGGGGGGGGGGGACCTACCTGGGGGGAAGAGAGGGGCCCTAAAGGGGACCTTTCGGGCTCCTTTTGGAGCCAGCAGGGACCCAACAGGAGACCTAAAGGGCCCCTTTAGGACCCTTTCCTTCACCCCCTTCTCTGGGTCACCCACCATAACCACCCGCGCGAATTCGGGGGACTCGGGTTGGCCTGACGGAACCGTTGGGAAAATGACGAGGCCCAGCCTGACATTTGACGTGAGCTCCCGCTGTAGACATCCCGCGAAGACTGCGCCTTCAGTGTGCAGGACGGGCACGTCAGGAAGCGTCGGCAAACCCGAGCCCAGGGGGGGGGGCTCCGGCCTCTCCCCCTTCGCGCCCCTGCGGGGGTGGCCTGGCCATCCGCGCGCTCGCCCCCTGGTCGTGGGTCGTTGGCCCTGCACTCGTCGCGCTGCCCGTCAGGAGCGCATGATAAGGAGCGGCGGGGGCTTTTCCGACCACGGCGGGCCTGGGCCACGGGCAGGTCTCACGACCCGTGTCTGAGGAACGGCCCGAAAATCCGGGTCCCTCCTGAGCCCACGGTGGTCCTTCTTCCAGCGTCTTGAGTGCAGGTCGCCCAACTTCGCGCGTCGCGCCCCGCGGTGCGCGGCGCGCTGCTCTCTTCGCGCTTTTCGCGCCCTGGACAAGGGCGGCCCTCCAGCCCGAATTACTGCGCGCGAGGCGCGGCCAACTTCGCGGCGAACCCCCCTCTCGAGGCTCGAAGTTTGTCGAGGCCCCAAAACCTATGCCGTCCTGGGTCCTGACGGGCTTCATCCATGCTTTCTCTGGAGCTCTCAGGCTTCCTGCCGCCCTGGGATGCAGACGATCGGGCAGACTTGAGGGTTGTGCTCTCGGTGCTCGTGCGTTCGGTGCCGTGAGAAAGCAATACGACCTGGCGGAAGACGCGAGAACACAGAAGCTTGAATGCGGCAAGACCTGCAAAAAGGGAAAAAGACTGGAAAAGGGGAAGAGAGGATGCAAGTGAGAGAAAACTGGCGGCGATCCCTTGTATATGTAAGGTGGCTAGTAAAAGTAAAAGTGGGCGTTAGGAGCGCTGAAAACAAACATATACACTTGGAAGGGTTACATATGATGCATAAAAAAGCCTGTGATAGTTAGGTTTCTTCTGATGTGACAATGATGTCTAACGTTGCTGTGATTCGCTATTCGACGGCCGTATTGCATCTGACGAAATGGACCACGGAATGCCAAGTACATGTTCCGATTGGCCAGCGTCGTCGCAAAAATCAGATCACGAGAAAAACCTAGGGGGCAGACAAGCTCACAGAAGCCCTGGAAAATGAAGATGGGCGCCAGAGCAGCTCTGACACATACAAATAACGATAAAGTCAAGTCTCCCCCATAAGGCCCCAAAGAGCCCCCCGAGAACACCACGGAGAGGTCCAGATAACGGGGACACCAGAGAGCCCCCCAGAAGCCAGAGGAGAGCCCAAAGATTTCCGACAGGCCCCGCGGTAACCCCCATCCTAGGCATCTGGTTGCGCGCTCGGGCTGCGCATACACGCGGGGGGTGGCAAGTGACGCGGAGCTTTGGCCCACGGCTCGCCGGAAGACGAAAGCGAGAGGATCGAGGAACGAAGGAGCGGGAGAGGAGGACGGAAGGGGGGATGGGGGAGGAGGGCGCGGGACTGGGATGAGGAGGAGGAGCAGGAGGAAGAGGAGGAAGAGGAGGAAGAGGAGGAGGAGGAGGAGGAGGAGGAGGAAGGGATTGGTACAGGTAGGAGGCGGAAGGCAGAAGGACGGGCTAGGAATAACGACATGAAAGGTGATGACAATGCCGACTGGCGATTCCGCTGTCCACCAGAAAACGTTGCACAACGTAGCATCGCAAATGTGTTCACACATCCCACGCGCCTGGCCGCGCGCCCCCTGGGCACTGGCAGCAACCAGCTTTTGGGCGGACCCATGGCACCGAGCGAGGTGGCTCGCACCTCAGTCCACTAGGCGGTGCATCCCCGCCGCCAAAGCCGAGCATCTGCCAGCCACCCAGCCAGCAGCCCCACGAACGCACGCTGACAGCGTGCGCCCCAGGAGTCCGTCGAAGACCCCTTGGCCAGCTTCTTGAGGGAGAGGCCCACCGTCGAGTTCGTTGCAGCTTTCTGGCTGGCCTCTGGGACGGCCGTCGCTGCGTCGGCGCCCTTCTTTCCCTGCAGGCCCGCACGCAGGCGCAATAGCAGCGCCTGCGGCAGAGCCGCTTCTGCCACCAGAAGCTTGTTCTTCACATAATTCAGGGCCCCGTCGATCGCCCTCTTGTTACCGTCGGCGGTGAGCATGCGGCTGGCGACGAGAGCTGCCCCGAAGATCACCGCGTTCTTGCGCACGGCCTCACCCGTCGCAGGCACGCTGTCCGGTGCATTCTGCAAGGCGTCGCGCGTGGGGCCCACGAGCCAGTCTTTGCACTGCTGCACCGTGGACTCTAGCAGGGGTTGCCAAGTCGGCCACTGGTTGGCCGCCAACTCGAGCTTCTTGGCGATGTTCGCGACGTGCTGGGGCACCTCGGCGTCGCCCCGAAGCCACTCGCACTGCGTGAAGTCCCGCGCCTCGATGGCCGTGACGGTGACGGCATAGTGCTTTTCGAAGTCGGACATTGTCTTGCTGACATTCATCTTCTGGCAGAGAGCTCCTGGGAAGAGCTCCTGGGCGCCCTGCAAACGCGCGAGAAAGCCACGGCGGTGAACGGAGGCCGACGGAGAGCATGTCGACGGGCATCTGGTATATGTCCGAGCTGATGATGCTCTGCTCCTGCCCCAGGCGCCCGCAGAAGGCAACGAAGACGGAACCCTCGGAACAGGTGTGCTTATGCGAGCCCGCCTCCAAGAACAAGGTCCACACCGCGTGCAAGTCATTCGCGAACGCCTCGTCGAACGTAGTCTCTGTGCTGCGGTCGTGCACCCGCTTCATGTTCTGCAGCTCGATGCTCGCGTGGATGCGGATGGAGACCTCAAGGATGAGACTGTTGTGGTGGACAGAGTAATCCGACATGTCGAAGTGAATCAAAGTGTCAACGACAAAGCTCAATACCATAAACAGTACCACGCACCGCTCAGGCTCATCATCATATTGATAGCCACTGGAACGATGAACTTGTCCGAGGTAGGTGGAGCAATTCAGCTCCGTGGTCAAGATCTCCTCGGCAAACGCGTAGAGCGTCTTGACCACGTCCTGAGAGGAACGGGCGTCAGGGCAGGCACGCGCGCCCTCCCCAGGGGAGGAGGTGGACAATAAGCTTGAGGAGGGGGGGGGGGGGGGGGGGGGGGCGGAGCAGGATGAGGAGGAGATGGAGGAGCAGAGAGGGTCAGGAAACTCAGAAACTAACGCGCAAGGAGGGCGCACGCCCCCCTCACCCCCCGCCCCCCCGCAACCTCCCCCCAACTCCGATCCGCAATCTCCTGGGCCAACTCGTTGCCGCGATATGCGCTCTCTGGGCCGTGCCCGCCCCTCGGGAGCTTCTGGGGGCATACGGAAAAAACAAAAAAAACAAAAACGAGCGCTGCAATTGCGGGGGTCGGGGATGGCACGCCCCCCCCCCCCCCCCATGGAATTGGGCAGCGCCGCGCAGCCTGCAACGACGCCTCAGACGACCCTCCGAAGCCCGCAAAAATCTCCAGGAAGGACCCAGGACCCGACCTCTGGGCCTCACTAGTGCAACCCTCGTTTCCACGAGCTCCTGCCTGTCGGACTGCGCGCCGCCCCAGGCAATGCCGACATCCTTGCGCGCGATGTGGAAGTCGCCCTCAGCGAAGTGACCGATGATCACATTGACCTGGTCAATGAACCCATCGACCTGGAGCCGCTCGACGAACCGCGCGACCTCATCGAGCTTCTTGTCGTTATCCTCGCAATACTGCCCCATCGTGGTGCACTCGTCGTGGAACGTCTTCACGGCGCCCCAGGCCGTCTTCCCATGCGAGGTGGCATCGCCGCAAACTGCTCTGAAGTGGGTCATCGTGCGCGCGCTCAGGCGGCCCTGCTCGCGGAACAGGGCGACGCATTGCATGCGGGGCCCCCTGTCCTCAACACGGGTACCTTCGGCCGTGGCCCACTTGAGCGCGGAGCAGCAGACCGACAAACAGTGGGGGTCCAGCGCAGGCTGCGCGCAGAAGCCGTCAGTGGAGTCCGCGCCGATCAGCGCGTGCACGGATGCCCGCGTCGGTAGATGCTTGCGAAGCGCGCCCCCAGTTTGAATGATATCATCGAGCTTGTTCATGCACCATACTTTGTCAGCAAGGCTGAACGCGAGGCTTCGCTGCGACGCCAATGCGCTCTCAGCGCCCGGGAAGCTCAGGCTCAGCGTCGAGCACGTACCATTGCAGGTCATCAGGCCCAAGGCAATTTGAAGGTTGTTCCTGCTGCTGCTGTTTATCACCGTGTTCGTGCCTGAGGTCAGGATCTGCGTGGGCAGTTGGTTGGGGCATCCACGAATCACGTCGCTGTGCCCCTGCGGTAACGGTTCTGACGCATACGTTAAGAATGAAGCCCTCAAGTTCTTGACCACGTGGCTCGCCATCTCATTCTCCTGGGCGAGGTCGAACAACTCGGTGCTGACCTCGGGCGCAGCCTCCTTGCACGGATCAGCGTCGATCGCACCGCACTTCCTGGCAGCGCGGTGCAGCTTGCCAACCAGACCGTGGAGCTCGTTGTAGCCGAATTTCGCCTGCGCCTTCCACTGGAACTCAAACGCGTACTTCTCTTTAGTTTTGTCTCAATTCCATGCAGTCATCAATTGTCGCCTGGCCCCTCTCGCCCTTCACCCTTCTACTCTTTCGACTCGCCGCGGGGCCGCCTCGCTGGTTCTTCAGGTTGCCTTTCATCGGGGGCTTCACGTTGACGACGGACGTGGGGGCCTCTTCGAAGTCCCCCGCTGCGCTGGCTGCTCCGGAACCGCCCTCGCCCTCCTCGGAGTCGGGGGGGGGGGGGGGGGGCGAGATGGGGCGCCGAGAAGTCAGGGCCCCGATGCGCGGGCCCGACGGCGCTGCTGGTCCAAAGTCGCTGCTGGTCGCCGCCGAGCTCAGCACGGTGGCTGCGCTCCCAGGGCCGCGAGCCTGCGGCGCGCACATCGAGCGCGCGCGGCGCGGGGCCCCGCACCGCGAACAACGGCATCTGCATTTCCTGTTCGAGAGCAGCATGTCGACGTGATCATCAGCGGCCCGCTTCTCGCCATGCTTCGTGACGTGCTCCACGCCCTTCTCGTCGCAGACCTCTCTCTTATAGTAGGAGCGGTCGTCGCTGGTGGCTGGCACGTCAACGCGCATGACCTTCTTCTTGTTGAGCCTCACCGTGTAGTGGTAATTCTCCTTGATGTACGATGTGACAAGATCCTCATTCTCCTTGTTCTTGGCGAAACACAGCTCCTCGTCTTTTACAAAGGCCCAGAGTTCAATCAACTGGCCCTCCTGCCATTCTATGTCCTTCTGTGTCCGCGATTCCTTCACGAAGGTGTCGCAGTCGATGTAGCCCCCCACCCTAGCGCGCTTCTTCACGCCAGTGACAAGAGAGCCCCTCTTTTCCAAGAACTTGAGATTCAGGTCGCCCGATTCGTCTGCTCCCATCTTGGCCTTAAGGTCATCCAGCGATCAGCAGAAGTACTTGATCCTCGTGCGCATGCACCCGTAGCACTCGGAGCCATGAGGGAAGCCGCGGCAATTATTGGGGATATTCGCGGACGTGGTGTTGAGTCTCTTGCGGGGGGGATGCCGCGCCCGCCCTCGTCGCCCCCCTCGTCCTCCACCTCCGCCCTCCCCTCCTCCGCCCCCCCCTCCTCCGCCCTGCCCTCCTCCTCCTCCGCCCTCCCCTGTTCCGCCCTCTCCTCCTCCCATCTCCATTCTCCCTATTCCGCCCCCCCCTCCTCGCCCTCATCATCCTCGATCGTTCCCCTCCTTGTTGGGGGACTTATGCGGGCCCCCTCGGCCCTCCAATCAAGAAGCTTCTCGGGGGGATCTGGACGTTGGACCTGCCGATCAGGTGAATGAGTGCTCCGGTCGCAGAGAAAGCGCGTGTGGGCGGGCACGAGTGGCAAGTCGTTCACCCCAAGCACGCGCTTCGTCTTCTGGGCCTTCACGATGTTCGGCGCCATCTGATCTCTGATCTGGGAGGTGCGTCGCGGCGCAGCTGCGGCCGCGCAACCCCAGCGCAGCTGGCGCGGCACCAGGGCGCAAGATGAAGGCGCTGGCCTTTACTAAACATGCGAAGCTCGAGCCAAAACGGCTACGAATCCACGCCAGCCCACGTTGGCCCGCGCCCGCAGAGGGCAGGCGCAACACCTGCGACATTCGTTTTCATCGCAGCCCCCCTCCCCCGCGGGGCCCAAGAGAGCCCCAGAAGGGGCCCGAGGATTGCGAGAGGCCCCCGAGGGATGGGATGGGCAAACAATCAGCATTGATAATTTGGGTGTTCGGAATGGGCCCAATACGTTCCGTAGAGGGCTCCTAGATGAGATGGGGCCCGAGAGGGGGCCCATGGGAGCAAGGGCGAACAAAACGCAATGGAGCGTTGCGAAGCTACTTCGCGACGATGTCTCACGCGAAACACCCGACCCGCCCTGCGGCAATAACCTCCGCGCGCGACGGGGGGAGCGAGGACGGGGGGGATTATCTAAAAGGAAAGGAGGAGGGGGAGGGCGGAGGACGAAGGAGGGAGGAGGGCGGAGGAGGAAGGCCAATGGAGAGCGCGATGAGGAGGGGCGGGGGGAAGGAGGAGAGGGGGGGGGGGGGGGGCTGATGCGAGGGGTCAGAGGCGGACAGATGACGATATTTCTTTTTTTTCCAGCAAGGCCCTGTCGAAAGGACGCCGCGCGCGCGCGGTGTCACCGCCGCCGTCTGATAGAGAATCCCACTCGGGCCTGGAGCGTCGAGCTCGCGCAGGCATGCCAACATACAGGCGTTGCTCCGATAGAGTAGATGGGGCAAGAAAGGGGGAAGTCTTCTGAAGACGGGGGGGGGCACGAGGACGGGGGCGGCGAGGAAACGGGGGCGGGCAGAAAGCAGGAACAGAGAGCACCGCCCTCGCGAGCCTCTCGCGTCGCGCGCGGCACCGCAACCCACTGCCAGTCAGACCCAGTCCGATCCCGAGGCTTGTGCTTCATCCCGCTCCGCCGTTCTGTGCGCCTGAGTGCGCTCAGCCGTCTCCAATTTCATCATCTGGTCGGCGCTCTCAGTCGCCTTGCTAAGTTCCTGAGTGACGCGGCGGACTGTGGTGTACAACATTTTGGAGCGCTTCCTGAGCCAGTAGATGTGAGTGTCGGCGACCCTGAGCTTCTTGGCAAGAATCAGAATTTTCCTGCGCATCGCAGGCTTTTGTAACTGGAACGCGCGCCATCTGTGGCGGTTCGGACGCGACTAGTCGCAATCGATGATGCGGCAGCTGATCCGGAACCTGAACGGCAGTGGCAAGACGGCGACGACGGTGGGGCGACGACGCCCTGGAGGATGGGAAGTCCAAGTCACGTGGCTTAATATGACCCATCCCGCGAGTGTCGCTGGATATGTGAATTACAGCTGGGTCGAAGCACAGACGGCCTCCAATGGCCCCTGCGGGCGCAACGCTGCCCATCGATCCCAAAGTTTTGGCGGCGCAGTTGCCGTCAGGGGGGGGGGGGGCGGGGCCAGGGGGGATATGGGGGGGGGTGACGCGGAACAGGAGGGAAAGGCGGAAAAGGGAATGGTTTGCGTTTAACGCGCGCAGGAAGGAAAGTCATTAAGCCAAGACGGGCTGGGGTAGGGCGGCGTCATTCGGCCAGCTAGGGCCGAGGGCGCGATGAAGAAAATAATAGAGGATGGAGGAGGAGTGGCGGGAAGGGCAACGAGGGCCCGGGCGGGGCGACCCAGACGACGGCGGCCAGGGGGGAAGGGAAGGCAAGGGGAGGGGGGGAGCGAGCGGGGGGGAGGTGGAAGGGGGCAACGACGTCGACGACGATGGCGGTGGCGCGGGGGTGCCAGTAATGACCAGGGCCAAGCGAGCAGCAGAAAAGGATTCTGCCCCGCGGCCGCCGCGTGCCCTTAGTCTGCCTCCAGGGCACTTGGAACAAAGGCGGAGCACCTCTCCCGAAGATCACCGGGGGGCCCTCCGAAACCCTCCCTCTCCCCCCATCGCCCTTCCAGGGGCCCGCGGATGCGCAGTGCTCCGGGGGCGCCCGAGCTGTCCGAGGAGGCGGGCTAGGAGAGGGGGAAGAGGAGGCATTGTGGTATAGCGTTTTTTTGTTCGCATGCAATAGTACGTCTTTGGGAATCACTTCGTAAGCGATCACACGTAAGAAGGACGTGATAAATTGTACAATGCCGAACACATATTTCCTATGACACGCGCATGCGCGCCCCCGCAAGGGCTGCACCGGGGGGGGGGGGGGGGCAAGTCAAAGGTGCGCGCTGCTGCTATGTATTGGGTACTTCCCCTGCGTATTTTCTCACGATCGCCTCGGCTGCGCGGTCCCAATGGGCGCCCGCACTGGCGCCTTCATTCAATGAGTCCGAGCAAAACGCAGGCACGAGCCGCAAGATCCACTCCGAATCCCCCACCAGGCCGCAGCTGGCTCAGCTGGCGGCGCCCGCAGCCGAAGGGATCAAAGGGGGGCTAAACGACGCTCAGACGAACGCGCCCTGGCCGAAAGGGCCCTCGGAACAAACTCAAAATACGTCAGAACAAATCCAGAATAACTCAGAACAAATTCAGAACAACTCAGAACAAACTCCAGGGGTCGACTTCCCCTGCGCGGGCACGAGGAAAGTCCACCTCGGAACAACTTCAGAACAACTCCAGAAAAAAAAAATAATAATAATAAAAACTCAAAGATTTTCCGATATTTTCGGCGACCCTTCGGGGCGGCACCGCGCCCCAACCGAACAATTAACCTACCCTTCGAAACTGGCGTTTGGCTGGCCAGCGTGGCCAGGGCGTGCTTGTTTGGCGTCGTGCTGAAATAGACAATCTAGAACAGCCGCCAATGGCGCATCTGGTGCAGCTGGCTCATCAAACCATCCCCTAACTGCCAGGATGTCCTTTCCCCGACTTGCTGCTGGCGCCCTGCGCACGCAATCGCAATGGACGTCGCGCTCGTCCCGCAACGAGCTCGACGTCTTGAAACTGTACGTCAACCGCCACGTGCCGAGCTTGATGCATCGGTTGCAGAAGGCGCAGATGGATCGATTCGACGGGGCTTTGCCGCGCGCCCGCAGCCCAGCCGCTGGGGGCCCTGGCGCTGGTGCTGGACGCTCGGCCGCATCGGAGTCATCGCTGGCGTTCGGCGACTCCTCGTGTTCGTCGGGGCCGTCGTCGATCGCACGCTCCTCCTCCCCATCGCCGCCGTCACTGTCGTGTTCAGACTCTGGCGCTGCATCGCGCGGGGCCCATCCTGGCGACGTTGGGGGGGGAAAACGCGCCTTGGGGCCCGCTCGGATGACGGCCCGCGCGGCAAGCCCCCCGCGTGCGTGCGTTCTTCTTGTCGTTCCTGCGTGTTGGGCCCTCGTTTTCAGCCCGCAGCGGGGCGCCGCGGCTAATTCCAAAGCTCGCCGCCCAAACCTTACTAGACGCAGCCCCCGCGCGCTCCGCTGCCTTTTCCGAATCACCTCTCCCCCCAACCGAGGGGCCCGAGCGACTCACCGCTGCGCCCGTAGCTGAGTGGCCCGAACAAGTCGCATCTGCCTCCCAGACGAGAAGCCCGAACGAAGTGAACGAAGCACCTCTGCCTCCCATCCAAGGGGCCCGAACGATTCATTTGCTTCCCAGCCGAGGGGGCCGACCGCATCACTGTTGCCCCAAGCAACACTCATCTGAGCAGCGCTCGTCTGGTCAGCAGTCGTCCGAGCGGCAGGGGGCGGCAGAGGGGCGGGGCGAACCGTTCACCTGCGCTTTCCATCTGATGGGGCCTCAGTTGTTCATTCCTGCAAACAGGCCGGTGTGCCCGAACGGCTCACTTCTGCCTCCAAGCCGAGAGGCCCGACCCACGTCGGCCTCCGTGTCGCCGAAGGGCCCGAGCGGCTCACCTCTGCCCCTGGAACCGAGGGGCCGGACGAATCATCTTTGCATGCTGCGAGTTGTTCGAGCACCGTGGTTGGATAGCACAGGTGAGTCGTTCGGGCCCCTCGGCTGGGAGGCAGCAGCGAGCCGTTCAGGCCCCCGTGGCTGGTTGGGAGGGGCTGGGAGGCAGCGGTGAATCGTTCAGGCCCCATCGGCTGGGAGGCGCATGCGAAATGTTCGGGCCACTCGGCTGGGAGGCAGGGGCGAATCGTTCGGGCCCATCGGCTGCCAGACGGAGGTGCGTCGGCGGGCCCCCCATCGGCGGGGATGCACTGGTGAGCGTTCGGGCCCCATCCGCTGAGCGACAGAAGTAAATCGGCGGGGCCCCATCGGCCGGGATACCGAGGCCCATCGTCCTCAGAATCAGAATCATCGTCATCATCATCAACGCCATAATCATCAGCACCATCATCGCATGGCCCTTCGCCAGGAGACGTTGAACAGCACGTGCGAGGACCCCCGCGCACTGGACTCACATTTGGGAGGGGCGATGTCCGTTAGGATTGTAGGATATACCGACATCACACTTGAACCAATCGTG